GGGGGGAGTCACAGGTTCATCATGTGTGACCTCCTTTTGGAGTCTTTTCTTACTGGAAACTAGCAGTGAAGGTTACGAATAGCAATCAAGGTGGCTATGGGGCACTGCAACATCATAATTGCAAGGTGGATGCCAAGTGCCCAGTTCACAATTACATGAATGCAGGGATCCTGCAATGCCTGCAACTATAAGAACCGGTCCTAAGTATCACTAGTTCAGTGTCATCATAACTTTATAAATGATTTTTGAACAAACAGTTGTTAAGTGAGGACCACCTATATAGATGATACTGATTTAGATGATAACTGTAGCCTACTTGGATGAAGTTCAGTTATATTTGGATCATTTTTTCTCATAGTTTCATAGCTGACTTCCATTTACACTACAAACCCAATTTCATTTGGAAGATATTCCATTGCTGCATTGTTAAAGGTGCTTAGGCCTCCCAGGGCTTAATTTGGGATTAACTGACATTTTTCACATAAAGTCTTTTTAGTTAATGCACTGCAAAATGGGTCTTTACTACAATTTTAATATACTGTTTTCTGTTAGAAATCAAACTGCTTCTTGGTTTAGTTTTACTTTAGCAAGAGAAAGAACAAATAAAAGGTATGGCATAATGATTTGACTATTATTGCTTTTCTAACTACAGGTATTCTTTGACTTACGACCACAATTGAGCCCAAAATTTTCGTTGCTAAGTGAGACAGTTGTTAATTGAGTTTTTACTTTCTTGGCCACAGTTGTTAAGTAAATCAGTGCAGTTGATAAGTTAGTTATACAATTGTTAAGTGAATCTAGCTTCCCCATTGACTTTGCTGTTAGAAGGTTGCAAAAGGTGGTTGCATGACCCCAGGGTACAACAACCACCATAAATATGAGTTGATTGCCAAGTGTCTCAATTTTGATCACATGACCATGGGGATGCAGCAGTAGTTGGAAATGTAAAAAACTGTATAAGACATTTTTTTCAGTGTCATTGTAACTTTGAACGGTCACTAAACAAACTATTGTAAGTTGAGAACTACCTATGCAGAATCTGCTTTATACCTAGATAATTCTCTATCCATTATTCATCACTGGTCTAAAGTAGGGTTGGACAAACTCTTGGTGGCTATACTTCCTTCTTCCTGAATTGGTTTTCACCATATGCTGGAAATGTGAGGCTGTAAAGGTAGTTAAAAAAGACTCAATGCCTTGTCATATATTTCCTTTCTTTAATAAGGAAGTTACCCACCTTCTTAAAGAACTGTTTTGCTTTCCATAATTTCATATTTTAAGTTTAGTTACCTTAAAAACAAAGATTTTCCCTTTCTCCATCTCCTATGTTCTGTTTTCAAGTATTACCTTTGTCCCATCACGATTTTCTTCTTCTTTGTATTCCATTTTTAGCAATCTGATAATAAATAAAATTAAAACTTCCACCTTGTATAGCTTCCAACCCCATAGCTCAGTATAGACTTTTAATTAACCTATGTTTTTACTCATTTTAAGTTACCCTGTATGCCTATGCCTTCCAACTGCTTACAGTTTCAACAGTTACAGCATTTCAGCCTTTCATGGTTGAAAGTTGCTATATGTCTTTTCCTACTTAAATTTGCTGTAGGCACATTTTTTCAAGTTAAGTTGACTGACCAAGTTACTATTCCTCCATATGTTCCCAGATTTTACTCTTGTTATTTCATTTTTTTTATGGTCGCCATCAGTTGTTTCACTTAGCTTTAAATTTTCAAAAGGTCAAATACTAAAAATGAATGAATATGATTTTAAAAGCAGTATCTGAAATTGTGTTTTTGTTATAGTTTTATATATTTTTATCTCCTTAAATAGAAAACTGGTTGTATTTTTTTAAAAAAAAAAAGATTATAACCTGAATTTTTTTCTCAGCTCACTTGATCGTAAAGTTAGTAATTTTAATAAGCTTTAGGCATTGGGTTGTTGAAATGTCACTTCCTCTGGTATTATATTTGCTGTGGGGAAAATTAAGCAATGTTGTTTAAATTTTCTTGTTTGTTTTTATTCTTATTTTATGCATGTGCATTTTTAAACTGAATTACTGATATTGAATATATATGGAATTCAGAGCAGTTAATGACAGGGGTTATAGGCTACTTCAGTCAGTAGATAAACAATTAAAAAGCCGAAATGTGCATAGGAAGCAGCAGTGTGTTTGTTGTAGGCAGTTGCAATGTACTTCTAATGGTTCACCCTTTTGGTAACCATTTGCATGCTGTATTCCATGCAAGCTAAAATATCTGAAGAATTGTCAAAAGTGGTTCAAAATGAATTAATCACATGCCCAAATATCACATTTACTTATGTTTTATTAAAGTAGAGGAAGAAGGAGTAGTAAAATGTATAAATTTTAAAGCTGGACGAAACACCATTAAATGTAAAGTAGATTTTTTAGCTTCTAAAATTGCCTGTTTTGTGCCGCTTTTACAATATTTTTCTTTTCTTTTCTTTCTCACCCAAGGAATGGGGAAAACAGAGGAAATCATGCTTGCCTTCTGGAAATATCATGTGCTGTTGGATAAATAGGAACATTGCATTGACAAAGTATTAAATAAAAGGGTAATCTACTATGGAGTTTAATTCAGCAGAGTTGACGATAGTGTTCTGCACATTTTGCAGTAAGGAACACCTGTAGGACATTTTACTTGATGGAAGCCATAGCAAACACAAATGGCACTTCAGTCATCTTTTTTCTTTAAAAAAAAAAAATCTCTTGGAGGAAAACCATAACTGATTAAAGGGTTAGAAGTTTCAACAAGGATATGAAAGCATATGCCAGATGGGATAGATTAGGACTTTTAATAGTACAGTAATCTAATCACTGCTGCCAAGCATTATAGAAGGCTCCACCTCTGGCTGGGTTTTATCCAGAAAGAAATGTGCAAGAATAAAATGCTGTTGGTATGAAGAGTTAATAAGTGCTATCTCTGAAGTTGTTCCCTAAAAATGACTGTACCTGAAGAACATTTCAAAAATTCATTTTTTGGTCATATGGTTTCTTGGTTTATAGTTCCATTAGACTTCTGAACCCTTTCTTCTTTCTTACTATCTTCAGATATATCAAAGAATCTTGTCAAAGGTTGAGAATATGCTGTTTATGAAGTAAAAATTGAAGTCCTTTCTTGAGGCCAGAATTTGTTAGGTCACCTACATGTCCAGAAGATTCTGCTACTGCTATAACAACTTGGATGGAATGTGCATCTGGAAAAGAAGAGTTTGGGCAACACGGTGCTTTCCCAGAAAGAGGCCCAGATTAGTTAATGGGGGAGAAGGGAAGAGTGCAGAGTAGTTCAAAATCTAAAATCTGTCCCAATCCATGCAGCACGTATCAAGGAGTTTATTGAGACACTGCAAGCTCCTAATATTATTCCCCAGGTCCCACTCAAATGAAACGCAAAGTCTCACTGAGTCCAAGTATCAGTAGGACACAGATTGTGCAGCATCCTAACTTGCCACTTACTTCATCTGGTCCTTACATCCCATCATCTGGAACACCTACTCCCAGAACAAAAACAAGATTTGGGGGAAATCTAGAAAACAGAGTTTTTCCATTGTGACACAAAATGTATCAAATCTACCTGACATTTAGGAAAACTGAAAATAGAGAAGCTACGAGAACTTTTGGTATTTAGAAGGAAGATTACTTAATAAATGTAATGCCAATGAGAGTAAGCATTTTAATTAAACTTCTGTTATTTTGTTTATTGAATAGTTTATTGCTGCTTTAGGTTGTAAATTGTCTTGAGTGCTCTAGCAGCGTGACAGTAGAGAAATATCATAGTAAAATAGACTTCTACCTTAGTATATATTGTACTAATTCATTTATTGAAATAATTTAATTTGCCAAAGTTTGTTAATTAAGAGAGGAGGACTCATGCAATTAAAATGTTTTTATTTATATTATATACATATATATATTATATATCCACTATTGGATATTCTTTCTGGCTCACACACTATCTTGTATTATGGCCAGTACCCTGGTAATTATCATGAAACCTTTCAATTTAAAAATCTAGTATGTGCTCTGAGTGAAATTTCAACAATGATAATAATATGCACTAACTGTATTTACCATGAATGTTATAGAGTAGTTAAAAAAATGCACTACATTATAGGCTACCAAAAGTAAATTAAAAGTATGCATTAAAGCAGGGGTGTCAAACTCGCGATGTCACATGATGTAGCACAACATATCGGGCCGGTTTTGCCATTGCTGGCAATGGGGTAGGCGCGGCTTCAGTAGATGAAACCGGCCCATGAGCCGGCAGTTTGACACCCCTGCATTAAAATGTACTTTTAATCAGTAATGTGATCTTGTTCTTGAATTTCTTGAATTTTGCATTCTACACAATAGTTTAGTGCAGCCAAAACTGTTATTTTAAAGATGCTCCAGACTTTCTTTAAAAGGTAAAAAAACCCCACTAATTAGGGTAAAAGTAGTCTTCATCTTCAAACTGTATGCAAAAGAAAATAATTATCAGTATGTTGCACGCTGCAATCGTATTACTGGAAATGCAAATTTAATTAGTTTTGCATAAAAATAGTAAATAGTAAGCCCAGAAACAATACTTCAAAGTTCATGTCCTCCAGATAAAGTGTGTCCCAACATTGCAAAGCAGGCTGGAACAAATGATCTACTTTATAATAAGTTGCACTTACTTCCAAAATAATTTAATTCACAGTGAGATAGTGACTTGTTGCAATAGATCAATAAATGAGGAAATTTGGGAGACATTACAATGTTATTATCTGGTTTTACAATGAAATTTTAGCAGCAGAAAGAAATCCTATAAATAGAGTAAAAGTATGCAGAAAAGAAATTTAAACAGAAAATATTAGCTCCAAAGTCTGAACCAAGAATTTATGATTTCTGGAACTATAAAGTTTCCTTAAGTTAGGATTAATTATCTTTTTAAAAAGCCTCATAGTTTTAGCAAAGAATTAGCAAGTATAATTCTTTTTTCTCTTTTTCTCTTTTGCAGAGGAAGAATTTGCCTCTTCTTTTGAGCATTGGTTTATTGATCTTCTGGGGAGCTTTATTGCTGGGTCTTCGCTTCTACTGGATGGGGAACAAACCTCCCAGCTTTTCCAACTCTGACAACCCAGCAGCTGACTCAGATAATTTTTTAACAAGAGTTCTGACCTTTTTTTATTTGCCAACCAAAAACCTTTGGCTGCTGTTGTGCCCAGACACTCTTAGCTTTGATTGGTCCATGGATGCTGTGCCTCTTCTCAAAACAATCAATGACTGGAGGAACCTACACACAGTGGCCTTTTATGCTGGATTCCTCCTCCTTACTTATACCAGTTTGAAAAATTCCAGCATAGGACGAGAAGGCAATGGGAAAAGTATAGCAAATGGCAGACTTAATGGCAATGGTCACAACTACCTATCTGAACTGGAAGATAAAGAATATAAAGAGTTGACATCCAGTTTTGCATCTAAAGAAGAAAATGGCATTAACAAAGGCTTACCACAAAAACCACATATTCCCTCAACAGAGAATATTGTGGTTTTGTCACTGTCTTTATTAATTGTTCCTTTTATTCCTGCCACAAACTTGTTTTTTTATGTAGGCTTTGTGATAGCAGAGCGTGTGTTGTATATACCTAGTATGGGCTTCTGCCTCTTGATCACTGTGGGCACAAGAGCCCTTTATGTCAAAGTCCAAAAACGCTTTCTGAAGAACTTGATTTTTTTGGCTACTGCTACATTAATTTTTTTTTACGGACTGAAGACATTTGTCAGGAATGGGGATTGGCAGAATGAAGAGATGCTGTATAAATCAGGGATTAAAGTAAATCCAGCAAAAGGTAACATTTTCCATTGGGGTTGTTTGCAACAAATGGATCACTTTATTATGTATCTTTTAATCTATCTATACTAGTTCTTTTTGGAAAATGCATAAATCCTATATTTACAATCATAAATAATTAAAGTTCAGAAATAAAAATGTACTGTGCTAAGATACAATTTCATATTAATTGCTTATTCAGAGGATTCATTGAATGTAGGGTGAAAACAAGTTGAAAACTACAGAAATGTTTTACTAATATGTTTTATGTTTCTGAATCCTTGTATTACAATATCTCTTGTCAGAATACTTCTTACAGAAACAAACGAACAAAAACAGGTAGTTTGAAGTATTTACTGGTTAGGTTTTAAATTTATGAATCACTTTCTATTCATGATCTGAATTTTCTTCCCTTCTTAGAATAGCATAATTTTTCCCCAGTACTGCTATTTGTCTAACATAGATGAAGAAACATTCAAATATTCTCAGTTTCCATAAAGAAATGTCTGTATGTTTTGTATTGTTAAAATATTTGGAAAAATAGGGTCTAATATTTAAATCATAAGGAAAATAGAATATATGTGAAATACACATTTGCCTTTGTTTCATTGGTATGAGGCAAGAGCCTCTGTGACTGGAAAAGCAAGAGTAGATTCTGGCAAATTTAATTGGCACACTGCTAAATTTTCAGAAGTTTAATGAATTTCAACAAACAAATCTTAAACAGAAAAATTGGTGTTCAGCTTACTGTTTCTGCTGAAAATAATCTACTGTAAGAAATAACTTGTAGGATGCATAAAATCTCTGTTCCTCCATCGAAAGATTTTATGCTGGAAATTGGATATAGTCTATTAATGAATTATCCATTTTTAAGAAAACATTTAAGAGACTAAAGATTTTTTGCAACAGTGCTACAGTAAAATGATTTATTATATTTGTTAAGTTTTCTAAGATTTCTTGAACTGTAAATGGATGCAAAAAGAGAAATAGAGGAAGAGAACAGTGCACATTTACATGAATCATCTTTATCCAATTTATATATTTTCCTATAATATGCCATGGCACAGCTCATTCCATTTAATCTATTTGTCCATCCCTGGGAGTTTGGAATCTCAGGAGAAAAGGCCTAGGAAATAAGTTCTAGCTTTGAATTACAGAATATTTTCGTGAGGAGTGAGTGAGTGAATGAATGAATGAACGCTTCCAAGGCTTAGTGAAAACAGAATCGAATAACATTGTCTGCTTTCCATTTAATATTTGGAATCCTAATACGGTACCTATTGTTACTATTATCTTTGTAGTTTATCTACTTTGTTTTATGTTTTGATACCTGTATTCTTTTTCCCCTAAAATATTGCTGATTGAAGGATAGCCAAATATTTGAACTTCTGCTTCCCATTCAGTGAAACCAGAAGCAAAGGATTGTTGAAAATGTCAGCCAAAATATCTGGAAGACGCTAGATAACCTTCACCTTGTTTGGATATGTCTACCTCCCCCCCCCATATTTTAATAAATTTTTATTTTCCCAAAAATAAAATACAAATAAAGAATAAACTAATTAACACTACTAAACAAGAATTGCAAACAAGACACAGAAAAGGGAGAAGGAAAAAAAAGCATGTATAACAAATATAAAATTAATAATAAATATATGGCCTCCACCCTAGCTGAATGCTGATACCTGTATCTCACACAAATCTAACAGGTTCCTTCCCTTGTATTGTGGATCTACAAATAGCTATACATTTTTCATCTATACTTGCTAAATTACTATTTTCATCACATTCTATTAACATATATCTCAAATATACAAAGTATTCTCCATCATCAAATCAACTCAATACCCGTTCACTGTAAAATAACTATTAACTGTTAACCCCCCTTCAAAAATAAAATACACACCTTTTAACCAGTTGCTCTTTAGCTTTGCCAATTCCACCAGCAGGTGTTGTCCGAGTTATATATTCTTATCAGAGAGATAGACAAAGTTCACCTAGAAGAATTAGCCTAGCCTAGCCTAGCCTAGCCTAACCTAGCCTAGCCTAGCCTAACCTAACCTAACCTAACCTAACATAACATAACATAACATAACATAACATAACATAACATAACATAACCATAGTTGGAAGTTACCTTGGAGGTCTTCTAGTCCAACTCCCTGCTCAGGTAGGAAGCCCTATACCATTTCAGACAAATGGTCGTCCAATCCCTTCTTAAAAACTCCCAGTGTTGGAACATTCACAACTTCCAGAGGCAGGCTGTTCCACTGCTTAATTATTCTAACCATCAGAAAATTTCTTCTCAGTTCTAGGTTGCTTCTCTCCTTGATTAGTTTCCATCTATTTCTTCTTGTCCTGCCCTCAGTTGCTTTGGAGAACAGCTTGACTCCCTCTTCTTTGTGGCAACCTCTGAGATATTGGAACACTACTATCATGTCACCCCTAGTCCTTCTCTTCATTAAACTAGACATACCCAATACCAGCAACCATTCTTTATATGTTTTAGCCTCCAGTCCCCTGATCATCTTTGTTGCTCTTCTCTGCACTCTTTCTAGAATCTCAACAACTTTTTTTTACAGTGTGGTGACCAAAACTGGATGCAGTATTGCAAGTGTAGCCTTACCAAAGCATTATAAAGTGGAATTAACACTGTATGTGATCTTGATTCTATCACTCTGTTAATGCAGGCTAGAACTGTGTTGGCTTTTTTGGCAGCTGCAGCACACTGCTGGCTCATATTTAAGTGATTGTCCATTAGGACTCCAAGATCCCTCTCACAGTTACTACTATTAAGCGAGGTACCACCTATACTGTACCTGTTCATTTGTTTTTTCTTGTCTAAATGTAGAACCTTACTTTTTTCACCATTGAATTTCATTTTGTTGAATAGCACCCAATGTTCAAGTCTGTCAAGATCCTTCTATATCTTAAGCTTATCTTCGTGAGTGTTGGCTATTCCTGCCAGCTTGGTGCCATTTGCAAATCTGATGAGTTCCCGATCTATCCCCTCATCCAAATCATTGATAAAAATGTTGAAGAGCACTGGGCCTACTTCCCTCCATATAGAGGCAGTTCCATTGAGGACTATACGTTGAATGAAATTAGTCAGCCAGTTACAAATAGAGGCAGTTCCATTGAGGACTATACGTTGAGTGAAATTAGTCAACCAGTTACAAATCCATCACCATCTGGTGGTGATGCTATCTAACCCACATGGTCTACTTTATCAAATGCCTTACTGAAGTCAATTAATAGATTAAAAAAGGATCAAATAATTTGAAGAACAAGTTATAACCAAGAAGATTAGCTGTGCTTGAGTACACCAACAGCTGACAAAAATTAATAATAGTGGCATGTAAAATAGTGATAAAGCTCTTTTAACCTGTACTGCACCACCTAATTTAATAATAGTATGTTTATTCATGAGTTTAGTGAACTGATACTAATGAGCTGTTTAAAAGTATGACTCTCAGGTTTGCTTATTGTCACTGAAAATCACCACATATATAAAGAGAAGAATATACTAAAACAACTACTGTCTTAAAGGGTTATGATCATTGGTTGAGGACAAATGACAGTGAGGATTCAGATGGCTATCTCTATCTCTATATTCTTTTCCCATTTGATATATTGTTTTGCTTTCAGAAGTGTGCCATATATTATTTATTTTTATTTACTTTATTAAATTTATTTGCCACCTGTTTTGCCACAATATGATTCTGTAAGGTTTGGATGTTATTACTTTTTGAATTTGGGAAAATAATAAATATGGCTACTTAAGGAAGCTCAGTGTCTCTGAAAGACTGATACTGTCAAGTATGTATTGCCAGCTTGCTGAAAGCTTAGTAAAATTACAGTCATATTACTAAAATGGTTTTCAGACTTATGAGGCAATTGACTTGTATATAGAAATTCTTGTAATTCTTTGAATAAACTGACCACTGAAAGATTGATCAAACCATAAGTGTGCTATTATTCATGAAAGCACTTTATGGACATTAGAAGAATTATTGGTTTTCAGAATTGAGTTAATATGAACATTTGTAATATTTGTTGATATGTATTTATATATGTGTGCATGTGTTATTCAATTTAGAAGTTCAACATGTAGAAACCATTTATTAATTTTTAGAGCATTGTTTTGACAAGTTGATTTTGCAATAACAAATAAATTGATAGACGTATGATGTATATTTAATATTACATAAAATTCCAGATAGAGATAAAGATTAACTGTATATTAAAATATTTTTGACTATTTTTATACTTATTGTCTGTACACAATAGGGTATTATAAGTTTTATTGAATAAATATCTGAAAATGAGATGTGTGCATCGAAGATTTTCATTCCCCCTCCGTACTTCTGATAAGCTTTGTGATAGTATAAATTTATTTAAGCAAATCATATTTAAATTAAATTATAGTATATTGTTGCTTTGAGCTGAACATAAGCAATATTTAATATTTTATGGTTGGGTTGTAATTTAGTCACAAAGGATCAAGTAATCTTATCCAATTAATAGGATGAGGAAGCAGCAAAATAATGTTATATCATAATTTACTAGCAGTAATCAGGATATTGGGTAGCAAACTATGGGCAATGGTTATGACTAATAATGATGAAGTTAAAATGTATTTCTTATCTATTTTATTTTAATGATCCCATTTTAAAGAATGATATATTTTGAGAAACTAAAAAGAATATTAAAGAAATTTAAAAACATAGAAATATCCACATAGAACAACCAGTCTTTGAAACAGTGTAACAGTGCTTATCAAATAATCTCAGCAGAGAAGCAGACCACATTTAATTTGATAGAACTATCATATGCAAAACAAGTTGACATTGCTGTCAATGAAGCAGTATGTGTAGTAACAAGATGCCTCAAACCCACACCAAAAACAAATATTCTTGAAGACATGCAAGAAGAAAACTGAATTAGAAGATGGAGGAGGGAATTTATGGAATAAGGAATAATCCCAGAAGAGAATATGGCTGAGGGATCTGATCTCTCCTACGTTATTTGGAGGATATTGAATTGGTTGAAGGTGGGAGTGCCTAAGCGTAGGACCAATATGCTCAAGGGAGGCTTGCTGGCATTTAACAACATGCTCTGGGAATGTGGAGAGACACAGAGTTAAAAAGTAATTACTAACGTTTATGTCCATGTAGTTTACCTATTTTCTCCTCAGAATGGCTGACTTCTGAATATTAAGTTCTCAATTTAAAAGACTAATTTAGAAGACTAAATTAAATCAACTAGTTAATTCAAATAAAATTAACAATTACTTAAGATTGTAACTTTAATTGGAAGTTGCATCTATTATATTTATTTTCTAATTTGTTACATTTTTATTGGTTTAATATTCCATATTCTCTCCTAGAATTTTATTTCTGTTCTATAAGCAAATGATTGAAAGAATAACTAAATCCAAATTATTATTAATTTTATTCACATTATACTATGCTCTTCAATAATTCTCATTTAAAAAAACCTTGGATTTCATACAGTGCAGTCATGTGACTATAAATTGTAATACAATATTGTAATAAAGATGGTTACTATAAAGTGCTTCACAGAGAATAAGTAAAGATGCTGGACTGTTCATTAATGAAGAGATTATGGACTTTGGTCTTTTTCAGTGGCCTTCATGAGTATATATTTTGTCATATTATTGTAAACTCTAAATTCCTAATGAGATTAAACTATTACTGATATTGACAGTGTAATTGATGCCCACACTAGCCAAACTATGACTTCTTGAGTAGTCATAATTCTTGTAAAGTAGATTCATTGATATCTAATTTGATTTTTTAATTATTTCAATCTAAAGGAGAAGTATTCTTCATTAATAAACTATGCTGACTGTAATTCAAATATAGTTATTACCCTTACTTTCTACCTAATGCATGAAAAACCCAAGTTTTGATGTGTGATGCTTCAGATAAAAATATGTAATTTTATCATTTTAAATTGTTTATGGTATATGTTTATAATATTAAATAGATGTACTTATGTATTAATATCTATTGCCAGCCATATCTTTAATGTTTGCCACTGCTGCTTTATGACTTAAGTAGTTGAGGTCCCTTTGAATGTAGAAAGAGATTTTTGTCTTTGGATCTGCCTGTTTGGAGGAAAGATAAATTTCTTGAAGATACAAAATAGTTAGAGCTCCAGGACAATGTTATAAACTTTATCAGAGCCCCAAACCTGATAGCAAGGGTTTGGCTGACTAAACTGTGTACACTAACCTTGTAAATACAGCTGCAAATCCACCCATCCATCCAGTGTGATAGTCAGACAAGCCTGAAGCCTTCCTCGTGCCCAGCGAGTACCTCCTCCTCCTCCTGAATAGCAAAGCTGTATCAAAAACAGCTTTTGAAATTCTTTTACCTTTCAAATTCGTTTTGCTATAGAATTTGAGAATTTCTCATTACCCCACAAATCAAACGTTTCTTTTGGCCACATGGAACTAGTAAGATCTTTGGATGCTATCCAAATTAAGTAATGCTAATTAAACTTAATTTTAGCATTATATACCCCTCAATGCAGAGTCTTGGGAGATCATTCACTTAATATGTACAGAACAAGAAAAATCAGACTCTGGGTAAGTTTTACCCATGAATACTTGTTACTCATCTTCATTGATAACTTTTTTTGTCATAGAGAATGTCAATATTCTGTCTCTTAGGGTATAAAATTGAATCAGATGGATGTAATTAGATCTAATATTTGACTTACCAGAAGACAGATGGAAAACAAGGCTATTGCCAAAAGAAATATAAAATGTGAATTTTGATTTCACTGTAAATAAGATCTGCATTTGTTAGACAACGTATCAGTAGAATTATTTTGTAATGTCTTATTATTTTTTGAAGTCAAGTATTTATTAAAAATTCCTGGATTCTTGTGTGTCTGTTTGATTAGTTCAGTCCAGCTTGCTGGGAGGAAACTTGGCACATTTTTTGATTCATATGAAAGTTATATTTCATTGAAGAAATTATGCATTAAAAATAGTTTTTAGGAACTGATTGTGTGTATGCTCTTAACTTGCATATAACGTTAAAAATTACCTCTGTCTTGTTTCAGCTAAAAAATGAAAAAAATTGGGAGAAGGATTTCTTATTTTGATCATATTAAGGTTTTTCTATTGTTTCCATTTTCAGCTCCATTATGATTAGAACCTTTGTTTACATGGATTTTAGGAAGAGGCAATTCCCATCAACTGTGTATTTTACATTAGTACACAAAAGTAGAACAATAAAATAACAGAGATGTATGTCCCTTAGAATATAAAACAAAAATATTTTTTGTTCTGTTGCCAAAATCAGTAGTATCACTTGCAAAATCTGCAAGTGTGTTAGACTCACAACCAAGCAACAGCACTATGCATAGTGCACACTATATTTTATTAGCAACTTAACATTGCCTGTAGAAATTAGTACTAGAAGAGACTGTCAGGTACAGATAGTCCTTGACTCTCAACATTCATTTAGTGACTATTCAGTTACAACAGCACTGAAAAAAATGACTTATGATTGCTTTTCACACTTAGACTGTTTCAGCATCCCCATGGTCACATGATCACAATTCGGGGGTTTGACAACTCGCATGTATTTATGACAGTTGCACTGCTGAGGTCATCTGATCACAATTTGCAACCTTCCCAGCTGACTTCTGACAAGCAGAGTCAATGGGGAGAAGCCAGATTCACTTAAGAACTTTTACTAACTTAACAACTGCAATGATTCATTTGCCAGTGGCAAGAAAGGTCACAAAATGGACCATAATTCACTTAACAATTCTTTTGTTTAGCAACAGAAATTCCAGGCTCCATTGTGGTTGTAAGTTGAGGACTACCTATGACCTGTAATAACCAATTCATATTACCTATAATAACCATTACCTATACAAATAAAAAAACACAATGTACCTAAACTATGACACTGGCCCTAAGAATATGTAAAACACAGCATTTCTAGTTCTTGCGCTCAATACTTCATGTATGAAAAAGTTTCTCCTATATTTCAATGTAGAAAATGCAAGGAATTTGTGATGCTGAATATATATAGAGAATATATACATTTTGGAATTAAAACAATGGCTGTTGTTCAATATGCATATTGTTATTACTAGTCTAATGAAAATGGGGTGGGGTGAGGTCTTCAAACTGAATCAGAGAAAAAGTTGCATAGCTTTTCTTGTCATAAGAACTCCTTATTCAGATACTAAATTGTGTATAATTGGATTGCAACTCCTTCTCAATACTATTTTCTCCTCTTGACAGCATGGGGTAACCTTGGAAATGTTTTGAAGAGCCAGAGTAAGATTTCTGAAGCTGAAAGCGCCTATAGAAATGCCTTGTATTATCGCAGCAACATGGCTGATATGCTTTATAATTTGTAAGTATATATGGCTTCCTTTTTTATATGTTTGTCTGTGAATAGGATCATTTATTAAGATTCAGGAAATGCAGATTATATTTACCTATTTCTTTTCCTTTCATCTTTCCTCTTGCCTTCAGTTAGCTTTCATTAATCTTACTTCAAACTCTTACATAGACAGATTTCCTTCTGTTCTCCACATTTATCAGATCATCAGATATTTGATTCTGCTTTGCAGTGAAATAGCAGCTAATTTCCCAGAAGATCTAGGGGGGTGCAGTATTTATGAATAGCCCTTTAGATTCATCCCACCACCTTGCCACAGATCCAGCTGACTAGAACTTACCAGCAGGCCCCAAGGCACTACAGCAGTTGAGATTGCTATTTTATCAACTTCAATTGGTAAATCAATGGCAGCTTTTCTTTGTAACAAGGATTTGAAAACCAATTTCCACGCTATGGCAGTCTATTTAGACAGCTGTGCTGTGATGTACCTAGAAGCTTGCTTGAAAGTTACAGCTAATACTGATTTTCTGTAGACAAGATGCAGAAATTCTTTTTGGCTCACTTAAAAATGATTGCAAGCACAATTTAAAACATGGTTTGAGAAATATTTCTTCTCCCACAGTAATATCTACTCTTGGTTACTTTTTGTAACATACTTGGCAAATTGATTGGAAGCAGGCAGAATGATTACTTGTCTACCTATTGTAGAGAGAAAGATGAAATATTCAATGGCATGCTTTGAACAATTGTTTCATTTTTGCTGAAAAACTCACCAGAGTCTCAACTGAAACTCCAAAGATGGGGAAAGATGTAAGGAGGTAACATTAACTCTTTCCCTGTTATTTTGGATTTTTTTTTTTCTTGAATTTCGGAAGTTTTGAGACTCTGGGGAAGTTGATAGGATGTTCTGGAGCATAATGCTTCTGTGGGGTGGAATTAGGCCCAGTTTGGTTGCTTTGGACTGCTAGAAATATGGGGGGAAATATATCTGGGAGATATTTAACCATTTCTTTAGAGAAGAGATGCAACCTTCTGTCTTTAAGGCCTTCCAGAAAAGGATTTCCCTGGACCTAAATATGTTGGCTTGCTTTCAGCCTTTTTCTGGAAAGAATGAGAATTAATTGTGGAGTATCATAGATAATATGAATTATTTGAAACCTTGTTTGTCAAGATTCAAGATGTAAGCCACATTAATCACTTTATTAGATCATCTTTGTCAGGATCTAGGTGGAAGATGTTTAGCTATCCTGTATATGTTAGATCTCTTGACAGCATTTGATACAATTGATCATGATATCGTTTTGGACTGTCTGCAAGAAATAAGCATGAATCTACTGATCTGTAATTGGTTTAGTCCTTCCTGAGTGAGTAGATTTGGTTGATGAAAGTGGTAGAACAGGAGTTGACCTCATGTTTTTCCTTGTAAGATATCACAGGAATTAACTATCTGGCTGCTGCTTTACAACATCTAAAAGAGACTGTTGGAAGTTACTCCCAACATCTATTGACTTGGGGAATGATATCAATGTGCTGATTATATTTAGTTATAGTATACCCAAAGCCAATTGGATATGTAAGGGATTTCTTGACTTGCTATTTAGAGGATATAGGGAGTTAAATGGGATGAAATAAGCTGAAAATAACTTCTTATAGTTGCTGTTTGTCCAAAGCCTTCTATATAACTACCATATCTTTTTTGACTGTGTATGGGATGGCACAAGAGTAGTGTAGTGATTTGTGGATTTTCCAAGATTTTCAGTGACTGATGATTTTCAGGTGGAGGCCTTGGCTAAAGAATTTTTTTGCCACTTTTGTCTCATATGCCTGTTGCCGCTTTATTTGAAGTAAGAGTTGACAATTCACACACCCCATCACCCCCTAAGGTTAAAAACTATTGCAATTTAATTTACATGGGATGAATGTAACTTTGACTCCTTAGGACCTGACATTTTACAAAATGTAATGGCCTACTGTTGGTTTATACAGGGACATAATGCATATTCCAGATGTTTCTTTAGATTTCAGTAGATGTTGGGTACAATTCAAAGTGCTGTAGAGTAGGGGTCACTAACGTCTGGACTGTGACCATTCATAACTGGGAGGTGGACAAGCACATGCATTCATCCCCAATTGTGCAAGCAGCAGGCAAGCACACTTCATTTGCATGAATACGGAACTCTGTGCGCTTGCCCATCGCTCACACGGAACCATGCCCTCCCCCCAGCAAAGCAGGAAAGATTGGGGAACTCTGCTGTAGAGCATTATCAGTGATGTATAGTATTATTTTCAAACTATGATAATTGATGTATGTTTTTTTCTGATGCTTCTGCATTTAAACAAGATAATATTTTATTTAATATTTACTTGCTATTGAATACACATCTCAACTTTTTGTTTATTTCAGCAATCAAAGCATTTGCAGTAGAACAGATTAAGAAGCAACTATAAGAATGTATATGAAAAGGAAAACCATAATTTCATTGACTGTTATAAACAAATCACAGTTTATCTTTAGCTACAATTAAAGGGCTTTAAAAAGATAGAACATACCACTTTCCTTTCTTCCTATTTGTTCTAGCCTTAGTTCCTTCTATCCTCTATTTTCATTAGTAATCATGTTTACATAATATTGCAGACATGTAGACTAAATGGATTTTCAACAACTATGGTGGCACAATGATTAGAATGCAGTATTGCAGGCAAACTCTATCCACAGCCTGGAGTTCGATCCTTATGGGCTCAAGGTTGACTCAGTCTTCCATTTTCCCAAGGTCACTAAAAAGAGGATCAAGATTGTTGGGGGCAATATGCTGGCTCTGTAAACTGCTTAAAGGGGGCTGTAAAATATGGTGGAGCGGTATGTAAATCTATGTGCTTTTGCTATTTCTTTCTATCCTCTGATTGAATGTTTTAGGGACTGAACCATATAACTGAAATTTTCATGTTAAATGTCATTTGTAAATAGCCTCATTCCTGTTCTCTCTTCATTTAGAGAGGCAGTAACTGGGAAGAGGTTGTTTCTTGAATCATTGTTAAGCTTCAGAAAGAGGTCTATGGTTAAATATTAAAACCCAGGAGATTGATAAGGGATCAGTAGAGGAGTATAGGTTTATTGGAAGTCTTCCTAAAATTGATGTATATTTTCTCATGTCTTCCGCAGTAACTTTGGCTTACAAGGAGAAAAAAATAAAGATATCAAATAGCTGTAGCAAAGGCATTCAGAATAGTCCTTCTAAGCTGTTTAAATTCAAGGATCTGGAAGCAGTTCAAAAGGTCAAGTTAAAGAAATATAAATCTTCACCCATTTCAATCTCAGATTTGCAAATTATGAACTTTAGGCAATATATATTCATCTTTATTTTTTTACATAAAAATGGACATTCAAAATGCAGTTGCAGTTAATAAATAGGTTTTTAGTTTTTGAATTATATCATTGTATATCTTCTGTCTAATACAAATTTTGGATGGCTTTACCCAGTATAAATTCCTCTTCCCAAGCCTTTTTGTGAATATGCATGCATGAAAATTTTAATTAATTGGATTGTTTGTACAAGAAATTAAATGTAACTTCTGTCACTATTGCAGTATGTTGATTGGAACACTATGGCATACTATTTGTCAAAAATTGCATTTTGTTCCTTTTTTCTTATATTAAATCAATGTTATTAGGTAATCCATATTTTAACTTTGTTTTTTTAAACAAACTTTTATATGGAAGCTTGGATTTAATCTTATATTTCTACTTTAGATCAGTTATTGAGTAATATTGATCATTTTTATCATTTCCTGTGTTAAAGAAGAAATATAATTTTCTTTTGCCACCAAGTGGCAATAATAGCAACGTCTACTGACATCTCAATTTGGAGCAGCAACAATTTCAGCTTCACTACACCTAAATTATTAAAGTGATTACCAAATCTTATGAGATTAAAATAACACAATTAATTTTTATAATGCTTGTTGCCAAAAAAAAATCAATTCCATATGTAAATTGTGAAGACTGAATGGAATACAGAACTGGAGATTCTCTTTTAAAAAAAAAGAATAGGAGATTGGTTTCATGTCTGCATCAAAAATTTAAATAGATCTTATACTATAGCTTATTCAATAAAAATAATAGTTATAATCCATCATATTTGTTTAGAAAAGAAATGAATAATTCATAGTACTGTTGGAGATTCAGAGAGTGAGAACTGCATATTTTTGCAATGTCATATAATTTTGATGGTGTAGGAAATCATACATATATTAATTGGGATAGTTTTTAATATTTTTCTAGCCAACTTTTTTGATTTACATACCAACTATTTGGAATTCCACAGCTGGACAGTAGAAATTCTCTGTTTCATTCTTACAGCAAGGAGACTTATTATTCCATACTGGAAAGATAAATTTACAATTTCAATTCTTAATGGACTGAAGACCTGACATTGGTTGAAATCTCTGAACAATGTGCTTATTGATGTAGACTTTGTAGAGATAATTATAATCAGATATGGTCATCGCTTTATTAAAATGTTTGTGTAAAACTCTACATGCACACACACCAAAGGAATAGTATTTTATCTATTTATTATAGATGCCCAGAGAGATTTTAAACTGTTGTGTGAACTTTATATCTACATACAAAGACTGCTGTATTCATACCTAAATAATCTTTGTTTCAAATTTCACACAACCTGAAAACTGTGATAGTCAGATTCACAACAAGTAAGCTGTAATTCAGTGTTTTATGGTAGTCATGTAGCAAATATCAGTTCATGGTTCTAATGAAATCAGAAGCTATATTTAATTAAATTGTCTGCTTTCTAGGCCATAAAAAATGTCTTCCTGCAAATACAAAAGGATTGTGATAATAAGACAAGATACAATCATTCAAGCATGATTTCTGTAGGAGAGGTTATATTTGCAGCTATCCCAACAGGAATTGAATTCATGTACATGAGAGAAGATAATTAAAGATATTGACAGTATCTTCTTGCAAACTAATTAGCAGCAGCATCAAAGTTCGC